GCATTACCTTTCGGATAAAAAAAGAATTATCTAAATCGGTCCACTAGCGGCGGAGTTATGCCGTAACACACATAAAAAAAAAATAAAAAAAAAATATATACCGACGAACTGAATACCTCCTTCTTTTGGGAAGTCGGTCAAAAACAAGGAATGTATCTAGACAATGAAATGTGTGGCTGTCTCAATATCAAACGGAAGATCTATTGAGGTTCATACATTGTGTTGCCAATACCCAGCAGACTTTATTATATTGATCACGATTTCATTTTCTGCTCGCTAAATGTTTGTACGATATTCGAATATATTCCAGAGAAATATTTGCTATAAAGACTGCTCGAGAAAAAAATATCATTAAATTTGTTGTATTCAATAAAACCTTTCTATTTATATGAATGAGAGGAAATGGCATTTAAAGTGAGTCGGGTCTCGCCTGTATCGGTACTTACTGCTCGTATGTATGTATGTATAACGAGTCGTTTCAATTTCCTGCGGCTGCGAAAATTTGTAAAAATATGTGACACGTAATATCCGAACCCCATACATTACCGCTGACAACTTGTAGCCTTGCTATACGAACAACAATCTATGTATTTATTGATGACAGAGAGATGCGTGTCTTTATTTTGCAAGATTTGTTTTGCAAGATCGTCTATTAATCGATAAAAAAATGACTTTTAATGTAATCTGGAATCAATTTCGTTCACCGTCAATACGCTTCATTTGAGCAAAGACCACAATTGGTTCAGCTCGACCGCACGCCGCTGTAAACATACGACATCGTATTGTGTCTGCGTTCGTTACTCGCCCATTGTCCGGACATTTGATCTTATTTCGATTATTTCGCTCGCACCCGCACTTAAAACACGAACTTCGGATTAAATGTGTCTCACGTAACCGCTTTTATTTTCTTTATATCTCTTTGTTAGTTATCGTTTGGCGAGTGGAAAAATCAGAGCAACTTCGGCTACAGTTTTAACTGGACTGTTCGGATAAAACTAAAGGTGTGAAGCTAGCTTTAGAAATTTATATACAAAAAAAATTATATTTTCGTTGTAAAACACACTCTACAAATACACAGGGGTTGAAAAACATGAACTGGCATGTAATACATGTTGCAAGGGTTAGACCAAAAAACAGTGCATAGAAAAGCAACTAGATTTAATAACAAAGCACAAGGCAATGTATTTCCAGAGTGAAGAGCGCTGCGCTGCGCTGTGAGGATCTATCGGTCGCCATTACACGAAACGAATTCGTTCCACATTCAATCCACACAATTGCATTGTGTCCACCTGTCTGTATGTACGTGTATGGCTTTTTGTAAACTTGCTTTTGTTTGTTAAATATAGGTTGGATTTCGCGAACAGCTTTTATTTTAAAAAAACGTGTATTTGGTCTCGTATGTGAGCACGAATTTTTGGAAATTACATTTCAAATAAAAGAGCTACTCGGCCGTACATGTTATATTAAAGAAAATTGCATTTCGTTATTCGATAACGATTTGTTTGTGTGCTTTATAAATGTTGAAACAGTCTGTTACTGTTTACATTACATTCTGTTTGATTACCTA